CGACCAGGATGGTCTTGATCTCTTGACCTCGTGATCCACCCACCTCGGCCTCCCAAAGTGCTGGGATTACAGGCGTGAGCCACCACGCCCCACCACCAGTTTTACTTTTAAAGAGCAAAGAGGAGCATTGGTGTGTTATATATTGTTTTTTGCTATAAAAATAAACCAGAATAAGCCAGGTGTGGTGGTTCATGCCTGTTATCCCAGCACTTTGGGAGGCCAAGGCAAGAGGATTACTTGAGGCCAGGAGTTCAAGATCAACCTGGGCTGAATAGCAAGATCCAGTCTCTCCAAAAAATGAAAAAATTAAACTACCTCTAAGCATCTCTATTCTCTTCTTTAGTCTACCTAAACAAGAGTTTCTTAATGGAATCCTCTTACTCTACTAACCTCTCTAATTCTTGCATAAAAAGTACTCTTGACTCTGCTGTGATTATTTAGATCTGTGATGCTGCAATCTTAAGCTCCGTCAAATAGAGACTGGTCCCAGATGCCACCTCCCTCCTACCTAGTTGAAGTGACAGTCTTTCTCTGTCATCCAGGCTGGAGTGCAATATTGTGGTCTCAGCTCACTGCAACTTCTGCCTCCTGGGTTCAAGTAATCCACCCTCCTCAGCCTCCCAAGTAGCTAAGATTACAGGCATGTTGCACCATTTCTGGTTAATTTTTTTTGTTTTTAGTAGAGATGTGGTTTCACCATATTGGCCAGTCTGGTCTCCAACTCCTGACCTTAAGTGATCCACTTGCCTCAGCCTCCCAAAGTGCTGGGATTATAGGTGTGAGCCACCTTGTGCAGCAGAGTTGTAATCTTTTTGCTAGTGGAGAGTCTTGCCTTGATGTTGATGGCTGCTGACAGATCACAGTGGTGGTTATTGAAGACTGGGGTGGCTGTGGCAATGTCTTAAAATAAGAACATCCATACTATTCTTGTTGATTTTTCACCTCCTTCCATAAATCACAAATGTTCTTAATGCCATCTATAATGGGGACTCCTTTCCAGGAGGTTTTCAATGTACTTTGCCCAAATCCATCAGAAGAATCACTATCTATGACAGCTATAGCCTTACAAAATGTATTTCTTAAATAATAAGATTTGAAAGTTGAAATTACTCCTTGATCCATGGGCTGCAGAATGGATGTTGTGTTAACAGGCATGAAAACAATATTAATCTCCTTGTACACCCCCATTCAAGAACTCTTGAATGACTAGGTGCATTATCAATGAACAGTAATATTTTGAAAGAAATATATATATTTTTTCTCATCATCAGGCTTAAAATATTCAGTGAACCGTTCTGTAAACAGAAGTGCTGTCATCCTGACTTTGTTGCTCTATCTATAGAACAAAGACAGAGTCAATTTAACATAATTCGTAAGGGCCCTAGGATTTTTGGATAGTAAATGAGCATTGGCTTCAACTTAAAGTCATCAATTGCATTAGTCCCCTAAAAAGAGAATCACTGTGCCCTTTGAAGATTTGAAGCCAGGGATTGACTTCTCTCTGGCTATGAAAGTCCTAGATGACATCTTCCAACAGAAGGCTGTTTCATCTACATTGAAAGTCTGTTGTTTAGTGTAGCCACCTTCATCAATTAGCTCAGCTAGATCTTTTTAATAACTTGCTGCAGTTTCTGCATCAGCACTTGCTGCTTCACTTTGTACTTTTAAGTTACGAAAATGATTTCTTTCCTTAAGCCTAAGAACAAACCTGCATTATATTCAAACTTTTCTTCTGCAGTTTCTCCACCTCTCTCAGCCTTCAAAGAATTGAAGAGATTTAGGGACTTGCACTGGATTAGGCTTTGGCTTAAGGGAATGTTGTGACTGGTTTGAATCTTCTATAAAACTACTAAAACTTTCTCCATATCAGCAATAAGGCTATTTTACTTTCTTATCACTGCAGTGGCACTTTTAAATTTTTTCAAGAATTTTTCTTTTGCATTCACAACTTGGCTGTTTAGTACAAGAAGCCTAGCTTGTGGCCTATTTCAGCTTTCACATGCATTCATCACTAAGCATAATCCTTTTGATTTAAATGACAGACTGGTAACTTTTTCTTTCACTTGAACACTTATAGCCACTGTATGGTTATTAATTGGCCTCATTTCAATATTACTGTGTTTCAAGCAATAGGAAAACCCAAGGAGAGGGAAAAGACAGGGGAACTGCTGGTTATGGAATAGTCAGAGCACATACAACATTTATGGCTTAAGTTGGCTATCTTAAATGAGTGAGGTTTGTGACACTCCAAAATAATTATTAGGTTGGTGTGAACATAATTGTGGCTTTTGCATTGTTAGGTTGTATGCAAATAGACACTCTGCCACTTTACATAAGAGACTTGAGCATCCCTGGATTTTGGTATTCGTGGGGGTACTGGAACAAATTTCCCACAAATATGGAGAGGCAACTGAATTTTGTTATGGCAGACCTAGAAAGGTATTAATATAATAGTAACATCAAAGATTACTGATATTAATCACCATAACAGATAAAATGGTAAGGAAAAAGTTTGAAATATTGTGGCAATTATCAAAATGTGACATAGAGACACAAAGTGAGCACATGCTATTGGAAAAAATGGTACCAATAGACTTGATGCAGGATTGTCACAAATCATCCATTAGTAAAAAATGCAATATCGGGGAGCACAATAATGCAAAGTATAATAAAATAAGGTGTGCATGTATATTTCACATTTTATTCACCCATTATTCCATATTTGGATAGTTGGACAGTTTCCAGCCTTTAGCTATTGTGAATAATGCTTCTATAAATATATAAAAATATATGTTCAAGTCCCTGATATGAATTCTTTTGCATATATACTTGGAAGTGGAATTGCTAAATCATATGATGTATTCAATGAATTTTCATATGTTGAACTATCCTTGCATTTTAGAAACAAATCCCACTTGATCATGGTGTGTAATCCTTCTATATGCTGCTGAATTCAATTTGTTCATATTTTGTTGAAGTTTTTAAATTTTTTACATCAATTTTCATAAGAGTCATTCACTGTATTTTTTTTTCTTTTAGTATTTTTGTCTGGCTTCAGCATCAGGATAATGCTGGCCCCACAGGAAAAGCTGAAAAGTGATTTCTTGCTCTTTGAGTTTTTAGAAGCATTTGATAAAGGCCAGCTTTGAGTTACTGTGTAGCATCCTTCCATTTCAATCCAAAAGTCTCCCTTTATCATTTCTTGGAAAGCAGATCTAGTGGTAATAAACCCCTCAGTTTTTGCTCATATGAAAATGTCTAAATTTCTCCCACATTCTTGTGGACAGTTTTGCTGGACATAGAATTCTCAGTTCACAGTTTTGTTTTTCTTTTAGCATTTTAAATATATCAGCCCACCAACTCTGGATTCCAAAGTTTCTTCCCTATAAATTGGTGGATAATCTTACTGCTGATGATTGGCAATGATAAATCACTCCTTTATTGCTGCTTTCAAGTGCCTCTCTTTTGGTTTTCGTTTTTCAACACTTTGTTAACAGTGTAGTTTCAGTGTAGTTTCTTTGACTTTAGCTTACATAGAGTTTATTGGGCTTCTTGGATTTGTAGATTCCTATCTTCAATCAAATTTGGAGATTTTTAGACATTTCTTCAAATTATCCTTTTGCCCTTTGTTTTCTCTTTTTGCCTTCTTGAACTCTCATAATGCATATATTGGTCCTCATAAAGGTGTGCCACAGGTATAACAAGCTTTTTTTTTGACTTTTTGTCATTCTTTTTTGTAGACTTTCTCATCAACAGTTTCTGTCAATTTATTTTGTTCCCTTAAATAGGTCATATTTTCTTGTTTCTTTGCATGCCTTGTAATTTGTTGTAATAGTTGAAATCTGGGCATCTGAAAAACAGACACACCTTCCAGTTTTTGAAGATAGACTCTGTTGAGGACAGTGCTTCACTGATTAGCTGGATTTTCTCTGAGCACAGGGATCAGCTAAAGTTGGAAGTTTAGGGTGTTTTCTGAGTCGGCATCTTTCCAGGGTCTGAAATTGGCCTTCTCAACTCTATAATATACATGACTTCTCTCAGATGTCCTAATTTTCCAAAGAGTCTTACACTAGACTCTCCTCAGGGCCTTAGATGTTCTATTCTATGTCTCCACCTATCATCTTTTGTCATAGATATCATCAGGTCTGAAGTCTCCCTGCAGCTTTCAAAAGCAGAGGATGATACTTTTGCCACCTGAGATGTGAGTTATGAGAAATAGAAACCGGGCCTTTGAGCAGCCCCTGGACAGTTTAGAACATTGCAGATAGAATCATGTCCACTATCTCCAGTTTGAGAGAGAGAACTGGTAACTGGGATGCTACCTCTTCCAGTTCAAGACCATGAAACACAGATGGGAGATGGGAATTTGAGCAAAGGCAGGTGAAAACATCATAAGATTTCCTACCATAGGAAGGTGTCTTTTTCCTGATTGAGGATACATTCATTTTCTATAAGTCTATGACTATTTTTCAGAGCTTTTATAAGGTTAGTTCAGATAGTTTCTTGTTCTTCCTTGGTGTGTTTGCTGTTTTCAGAGCTTAGATATTCTTCCTCTGCCACTTTGCTAATGTTACTCTTGTCAGTCTTTTCATTGAAACTTTTAATGAGTTATCCTCATTCACTGGCAACAGGACAGAGGCCATTCATTCTAAAGTACCATCTCTATATATTTCACCAGTCTTCAATGCTATTATTTTCCATCCACATCTTATAGCCAGTTTCTACCATTCCACCAAAAATTACTGTCAAAGGCAACTTAAGGACAGAGAAAGGACTTTGGGTTTTGAGATCATCAGGACTTGGTTAAAATTCTGGTCCACAATTACTTGTTTCTGTATCTTGGACAACCATTGTAAGCTGTGCAGGTCTCAGTATAGTGAGTTATGTCATTACTTTACTTGTAATATGGTTGCTTGGCAAATTTGATTTAAAATCAAGACTGGGCCTGTGACTCCTCCCCCACAAATAAAAATCCAACTCTCCTTTTTTTTTTTTTCTAGTGGTTTATCCTATGGAAATCCAATAAGAACTTTTATGCCGCTTTCAAATCGCTATAGCACTTGTTGTCTCTATCATATGTCGGTTGCCACTCTATGACTGGAAATAAAATCTTTCTTTTTGCTTATGTCTCAGATCTTTCTTAATAGTGTGTTTATCTGGAAATAAATCATGTCTCCACCTATTAATTTATTTGTTGCATATTTATTGACTGTTTCATAGACTTGTGTTAAGTTCTCATTACAGATGCTAGTGAAATAAAGTTCTACCTCAGAAGCTTACAGTATTTGCAGAAAAATAGAAAAAAACAACAGCCTATGCCTCAAACACCTTTGCATTTCCAAATGAGAACACAATTAGTAGGTACAATAAATTATTACAGGTAAACATATACTTATTTGACATCAAAACCCTTATAATCACTTTTCTATTTTGAAATAGAAAACTTATCTTTTCTCCTTGGTTTTCTCCTTGCTATCTGGGATAAACTTAAGTTAGCAAGGAGGAGACCTCAAGAGTTTCAGAATTTTAGCTGAGAGACTCATTGAGAAGTTAATCTGGTGCTTATACAACATGCTCGACATGAAAATGAGCTGGAAATCTCAGAAAGTTAGTGATCTTTCAGGAATTTCAATACTTCCTGCTTTTGGTTGGAAGACCTATAAGAACAGCCTCCTTTAAAATGCGGGTTAAATATTCAACAACCTATGTGTTGGCTAAGTGAGCTCAAGAAGTGAAAGAAACTTGTGTTTTAGTTCCACTTACTATGGAGTCTCTGATCAAATTATTCACTTCTGCTATATCTCTGTCAGCTTATCATCTGTAAAATGGAGGCGGCTCTAAAAACATAGTGAGAGATGATGCACAGCTTTATGTGTAATTGTGTTTATTTTAGAATAGCAATGATGTCTAAACTATTACTATTTGGTGTCATCTAGTAGACTCTGTGGAAAAGTAAAGAGGCCCCAGAATAACTGACTTTTCCAAGGGGCCACAATTGTTTTCTGGTAGGCTTGAGGCAAAAACCTAGACGTCCTCAATTCCACTCTATTGTTCTTTCATTGGGTTCTAAACACAGGAAATAAAATCCTTCTGTTCCATGTAACTGGTGCAGGGCTTGGCAATATTGATATTGCAGCACTGAGTATTAGGAGGTATTTGGAAAATTCCAAAAATGAAGATACAGACCTCTGATACTACAGATGAGCAGAACTGGTAAATAAAGGTGTATGAGGACTGTAGTTCCTAATAAAACAGTTGAATTTTTGTTTTCTGGTACCTTGAAGGTTCCACCCCAGCATATAATTCTAAAATTTTTGGACTAGATTACATTGAATTCTACATGCATTCATGTATACATGCATACATCTATATACGTTGATATAAATCAGTAAAATATCCCATGTATCATTTATCATTTATTTTTCTTGATTTTTTATTTCTACTTGATTCTTTCCAAACATAGAACAGAGACTGGATATAGGCATATGGGAGGCTGCAGAGATAAAGTAAGCTTACTTCATTCACCATGAAAATTAAGAACCTAACAACCTCTTTCTAGCTGAAAGTATCCAGACCAATTATCTTTGCTTTATAGGGAAGACTTCTGGAAAAATCAAGCTGATAAACTCTTAATTACCCAATTTCCCTTAACTATTTCAATAAGTACAATTATATGAGAATTCGTCTAGTGACAGAGAAGGGCAGCCTAGCTGAATATCACCATGACCGTAATGTGGATATGATGGGCTCAAGCTATATTACAAGGGATAGAGCCTATTTCTCATTACTAATATTAATAGAATACAGCATTTAATACTCTGTTTTGTGCTAAATAATTTTTTTCCCTTCATTAAAATGGATGGGCTATATCTGAGTCTGTAGTGTATGTATTGTTGAAATCTGAATAAATCTTTGTGGGTTACCAGGATCACTTTTATAAGTCACAGGTTTCTAGGAAAGATCTGCTGAAAAACTCAGTCTAGCATTACATTTATAACAAAATCGTAGTGTAGCCTTGAGCAAGTTAAGCTCATTTGTAAAAGAAAGATACTTACACTTGCTGTCCCTACCTCAATGTTCTCTTACAATAAATACATACATAAATACATATACAATTAATAGAGGTGTATACGCATGAATATATTGCTAATATTTACAGACATTTCAAATGAATTCTCTAGAATGCACTATAGAAAAAATAGGTGATGCGTCTCCATCAAACAATTCCAAGCTCCCCCATTAAAATTACCTAAATGAACAAAACCCTATATGTTTACATACATAGAAAAGAACTCCAAATACTGCTTCTTGCAGTAGCCTGTTCCAACCATGCTACCTTCTTCTTCAAACCAGTCCTCAATTCAGACACTGTGGGGATTCATTCACTAATCCATGCACACATTTATTCATGCAAGATAATTTATTCATCCCCTACCAAATGCTAGGTACTGTCCTTTGGTATGTTTCACATGTATGTTAAGGAAATATAGCCATAAGCCAAAAAAGATAAATATCCTCACCTTCTAGTTGGAGGAGGACAAAAAAATAACCTTATAAAAAGATGCATAAATATATAAATAAAAATAGGAAAAATAAATAGTATATCAGGTAGTTGCTAGGAAGAAGTAGAAAAGAATGTTAGATGGTGGAGGGAGGTTGTAATTTGAAATTCTGGGGGAGGTAAAATTTAAGAAGAAATCTAAGGGTGTTCTAGGAAACAATAGTGTGCATATCTTGGAAATGAGCATTACAGGCATAACAAACAGCCTAATGGGAAGGTCATGAGGCAAGAGTGCCTATGAGTATTCAGGGAACAGAAAGGGGATAAGCGTGTGAGGGAGAGAGGGATCAGAGTGGAGAGGACAAGGAAATGATGTCAGAAAGGAAATGGAGAGCATGGATTGCTAGGGGTTTGGAGGCATTCAGAGGACTTTGGCTTTTGCTTTGAGCAGGCCTTTATAGAGGTTTGACTGATAAAATCTGACTTAGGTTTTAACAGGAGCTCTCTAGATGCAACGTTGATTAAAAATTGCAGGAAAGTAAGAAAAAGATTAGGGAGACCAATTTCTTTACAGAAGTGATTTACTCCAAGATTTGCTTTCTACTCAGTAAAGAAATAGATCAGTGATGGGCAAAAAATGGCCCACAGATCTTTTTGTATGACCAGTGAGCTATGAATGATTCTTACGTTTTGAAAGGATTCTTCAAGAAGAAGAAAAAGGAGGAGGAAAAGGAGGAGGAAGGGGAGCTACAAAAGCAGCATATGGCCCACAAAGCCTAAAATATTTAAAGTTTGGAAAATATTTGCTAAATCCTCAGGTAGAGGATGTAACTGGAAGTAGGTCCTCAATACAACTGAAAAGTGGAATACATGAGAAAATAGTTGCGAAAAACATTGTTAAGTGATAGGTGTCAAGAAATATCTATGGTTTCATTCTCAACCTTCACAATGTCATACATTTCCATTGCGATATTGAAAAATATGGTCGGTTTATGAAAGAATAAACAAGAAGACCCTGTGTCATCTAAACAATGTCATACATGAAATTGAGGTAGTAATAACAAAAACAATAACACAAAGCATTTTTATAGAACTCAAAATTCTAGAAAGCATTTTCATGTTAACTACCTAATTTCACCTTCAAAATTCCATAAGATAGGTATTCCTTATTAGAAACTACTGTATTCTAAATCCTTAATGATTGATTGCTGAGCCTTGGGTATAGTCAAAGGCAGAAGAGTGTGAACAAATGTGAACCTGAAACAACCAATACTTCTGATCCTACAAAATGGACCCTGAGTGGCTAACTCGGTCTAAACTTAAAATATAGCCAAGCAGTCATTTGCTTACTAGTGGTAACACAGGTACTTTGAATTCCCTCAAAATCCACACCTTTTTAACTCTGGAACTTTCAGAGCTCACCTGAACCAACCAATTAGCCTGCCTAAGTCAATCAGGGCTCAGCTGTATGAACCAGGCAGGGCTTGTCTGCATCAGCTAATTAGAGCTCAGTTGCATCAAATTATTGGAACTCAGCTGCCTTGACCAATCAGAATTAAGCAAGTTTCAAACCTTCATTTGTGTAAATGGACCTGAATGGGAACCTAGGCAGAAAATTTCTGCTTTATAACTCAAGGCTTCCCTATAGGTTGAACTGTACAGCCTAACATAAAACCTACCAAGAGGATTGCATGGGGCTATAGAAGCAAAGTCAAGGCTGGGTGCAGTGGCTCATGCCTATAATCCCAGCACTTTGGGAGGCTGAGGTGGGTGGGTCACGAGGTCAAGAGTTCAAGACCAGCCTGGCCAATATGGTGAAACCCTATCTCTACTAAAAATACAAAAAATTAGCTGGGTGTGATGGCAGGTGCCTGTAATCTCAGCTACCTGGGAGGCTAAGGCATGAGAATCACTTGAATCTTAGAGGCAGAGGTTGCAGTGAGCCAAGACTGTGCCACTGCACTCCAGCCTGGGCAACAGAGCAAGACTGGGTCTCAAAAAAAAAAAAAAAAAATAGCAAAGCCAAAAGATTCTACCCAACATTCTCTACAGTCACACTCCCTTAGGAAGGGGATGTGAGGGTAGAAAGGGAAAAGGAAAGAAAAAAAAGAAAACAATAATACTATTATTACAGGGAAAGAAAGAAGAAAAAGAAGAAATCCTACCTGTATGGAAAATAATTACAAAAGTTAGAAGTGCCAGTGTCTTCAGAAGAGAAGAAACCAGTCAAATAATTCTGGAACCATAAAATATCTGAATATAGTGACACTACCAAAGGATTGCACTAACTCTCCATTAATGGATGGAGATTTAGTTAGGTTTGATTCCTCACCAAAATGGAAACTTGATATTGACAGATAAAGAATTCAAAGCATGGATTGCAAGGAAGCTCAATGATATCCAAGATAAAGTTGAAAACCAGCACAAAGAAACTGCTAAAGCAATCCAGGAAATGAAGGAAGAGATACACATTTTTAAAAGAAAAAGTTGGCCAGGTGCAGTGGTTTATGCCTGTAATCCCAACACTTTGGGAGGC